AGGGAACAGCAGAGCAGTGCTGGCCCTGGCTGCTGAAGGTGGCCAGTCTCTCACTTCACACGGCCATGACCGAGGGATCTTAACAAATACCCAGGACCATTGCTTTTCCAGAATACTCAGTTTGCCAAGCAGTAAGAGAGAAACATGTACTCTCTGGAAGCTACTCATGGTTTGGTAACACACACATAAGCACTGTATGTTAGAAAGATTCCCTCTGAACTACATAGAGTTGGAGAAAATTTGGCTTTGAACTCTTTATAAAAAGAATATAAATGCCAACTGGGAATAGAGAACAGAAACATCATATAAATACTAAGGTGCTTTAAATTCTATATTCAAATGGTTTTTCCTACTCACATGACATTTATTTTTAATAGAAAGTTTATAATCTGAGGAAACCACTGAACTGAATCATGTCAACATAGTTTTATTCGTTGTGAATGTGTATAGCACATAGGAAATAGGTCTGAGAGACAGCACTGGTGGGAGGAATTGCCATCTTTGAGTTTAAGAAATTAATGTCACCTATGAATTAGCAAGTTGAGGTCGAATGTGACAAGAGGAATTGAAGATTCCTTATTACATGAAAAATAATTGTTAGCACACCTGCTTTACCAGGAAGGGGCAAGCTGGAATTCCCAGGTGTTATGTAATTAAGTATGCATTTTCAAAGTAATGTCAGTGTGTGTCTTCCATGGGGAGTGTTTTCAATGTTCTCTTGCTGTTTGTACTGATCAGCTCGGGCTGCCGTAACAAAATACTTTAGACTTGATGACTTGAAACAAAAGATTTGTTTCTCATTGTTCTGGAGGCTTGGAAGTCTCACATCAGGATGCTGGCAAGGCAGATTTCACTCTGAGGACTCCTCTTGGCTCCTGGGTGCCTACGTGGTTGTTGTGTCCTCACATGGCTTCTTTGTGCTCATGGCTGGGAAGAGAGAGACCCAGCGGGCTCTCTGGTGTCTCTTATAAGGACACTAATTTCATCATGAGGGCCCCACCCTCATGGCCTCATTTATCCCCAGTTACCTCCCAAAGGCCCATCTCTAAATACCATCACAGCTTGGGTTAGGGTTTCATAATATGAAATTTAAGGGGGACCCAAGCATTTAATGCATAACTCTGTTGACTGTGATTTGTGAGCCATTCAATGGAAGTTTAAGTGGTTTTTCCCCTGAATATTCCCTTACAGTATTCCTTAATTTGACAGATGGGGAAGCCTGACAGTTGTAGACGGTGACATTTAACTGAAGTGGTCTTATATGTAACTTTTAAAATGCTTTTACCACAATGGAATAAGGATCAGAACAGGATTAATGAGCAGTCATGCAAGGAAAGGGCTCAGCCAGGGTGGACCATTTTTCTATTCATGTTTTTATTTCTAATATCTATCATCTCGAGTATTTCATATTGGATGTGTATACTGAAATGCTGAGTAAAATAGAGTGTGTGTCATGTCATATTCTTTTAGCATAAAGACTGAAACCAAAGGCCCACCTTATAAACCTGTGTAACAAATGATATGCATAACAGCCCGATAAGCAGAACCCGATGAAGAGTGAGTTCTGCATGTACATGCAGATCGCAGAATAAGGCAGACACCCCTTTAGTTTCAAACCTCTGATAATATGATCCTTCCTCATTAGTTAGAATCCCACATTGAAATATATCACTTGGATGCACTCTTGACTTTAAAGATAACTACATGCAGAATTAGACGGTGCCTGCTGGGACTGCCAGATCAATTACTTTGACTTCATTGCCTGGTCAATTCAGTCAAATAACTGGCTTAAGTGATTTTTTTCCTGCAGAATTTGCCAGGTAACTTCATCTAGTGCATAACTATTGAGCTACCACTTTGTCCAGGGCCTGTACTGGGCACTTTATGGGGAGAAACAGGATTAGAAGGCATGGTCCCAGTCAGTACAGAGTTCATAATACAAAGCTAATTCATAATGTCTGCAGGATGGGAGTCAGGGCTAATGGCCCAGAATAAGCAGGTCTTGGTAGTGGTTGTTTTTGTTTCAACAGAAGGTAATTGAGTGCTATTGCAGTGGCAGAATATCATGTGGGCTTCCAGGAGAATTGATCAAAAGGGAGGGAAGGGGGAAGGGGAGAAGCAATGGCAAAATACTGCACTAGAAATAGGAACGCAATTTTAAGGACCAACTTTGAAATTAGCATGCCTCAGAGCTTTGGTTGAAATACTGAGTTCTGAATTAGTGAAACTGGATTATGGAGGGCCTAGACTCTAGGCTTGGGGAATGTCCACGGGCGTATATGGCCCTCGGAATCATTTGGTCTGGTCCTGCCAAGGCCTCGCCAAAGAGAAGCAATTCCAGCCATCATATTAGGGGTGAGTTAATGAAATGTTTGACAGAAGGCTATTTTTAAGTTAAAAATTGTGTATGGCCCTCGAATGATGTTACAAATATCCGAATGGCCCTTTGCAAAAAAAAAGGTTCCTCACTCTATGCCCGAGTCTCACTTCAAGGAGTTTAAGATTTTTCTTAGAAGCAGTAGGAGCCACTGGAAGTGTTTAAGCAGGTTAACCATGAAATACAGTCGGTGCACTTGGAAGGTTGCCCTGGTAGTGGCGCATTTATTAGACCATAGAGGAGAGAGACAGGGTTTGTCTTCTTCCCTGAACTGTGCCTTGGCAACTCCTTTCCTTTATCACACTCACAATCCTCCCACTTTTACACTGTGGGTGCTCTAAAGGTCACTGCAGAGCCCTGACCTCAGAACAATGGATCTGTCCACACTGCAGGCCTGCCCCCAGACTGACAGATGCTGATGGTGGGGTAACCAGATGCACACATTGGCGCCTCCACTACATGTCCGCCGTTCCAGCTTCAACTGAATTCAGTGGGCAATACTTATAACTTAGGTCTTTGGTTCACCTCCTTCCCCATTTTTCTATAGCTTCTCTTCTATAATACCATCAATCCCTTCCGCCCTTTATTTTCTCCAAAGTTCAGCTATCCCAAAGACATTCACGACTACCTTTGCCCCTCACAGATCTTCTCTGGACCTGATTTCTCCATGACATACTGATATCACTCACCTTGTAGGGCTGTCTGGGGGCAGATACAAGACGACATGCAATAGCCGCACCAAAGCCTGACTTCAAACCCAGACCGTGGGTTCCATATCCAGCTTCTTTCCTCTGAATCCTCCTTCCAGATGTGGGACAGGCTGCCCAGGAGACAGGCGCTCCTTTCCTGTGGCTCACTGCTCAGCAGGGATGCTGCTAAGGGATCATTTCCAACTCCAATATTCTTTGATTTTTATTGATCTTATGAAATTTGACTTAGGTTTGTTCAGATTATTCAATTCATGTATCATTTTTGTTTGTTTCAGCCTGTCAGTATTATCAACACCCATTCGTTTGCATTGATGAGAAAAGAAAACATAGAATATCTGAACAGTTTAATGAGCATTTGAATGCCTTACGAGTTGACTTAAAATATGACCTAAACTTTACAATTATTAGGCATTCTAGCCCCAGCACTACTCACGAAGTAAACATTTCTTCTGCTGAATTCTCAGTATTAAAGTTTAATCCAGAGAAGAAACTCGCCAAGCCACCCGCCTTGCTTTCCTGCTGACCCTCTTTCCAGCCCCTACTGGGACTGCTGGCATCAGGATCTCCCGTGGGGGTGACGCGCCCCCCAGTGCATGCCTTCTGTTTATTGTTCAGTATGTGTTTTTCCTCCCAGCTCACATCTTTCTTTTCAGTGGTAAACATCAGAGAAACACTCTCATCCTCTCTCTTCTGAGGTCCTGCTTTGACAGTTATATTCCCAAAGACTTAAGCAGCATAACAGCCACAAAGAAATTATAAGTAGAATTTTCTATAATCAACTTACTTTCTCTTAACAGTGATGAGGATGCCTACATGAGGCATCTTTATTTTCAACTAATACTCAAAATAGTGATTCGTAGATCAGTTATAGAAATACTGATCAACTTTTTGAGAATTTTTAGTAAACACAATCCAGTTTATACAGGCAACACACAGACGTATTTAATTAGAGCAGGACACCTCTTCTTATAACTTCCCATGGGTATATAAATATAAAAATTATCTAACTGTAACTGGAGGAAGAAACTATCATTGGGCCTCTTACTGAGGAACAAAATGCACCTTCTATACAGTTGATGTGTGGATCACACGCTGCACTTCAGTTACAAGTCAGTGCTTGTCTCAGTGGTCTATGTAAAGGAAGCTTGGAAACTGCTATCATTTGTACATTTTAGGGATGGCAAAGGAACATAAACATATCACTGTCCTATCAGGACATTCTCACAGTTTGGAAAGGTTTGTTTTATCATGTACATATTCTTCTGGATAGCCCGGACAGTGACAGGCTGTCAGTTACTGTGATTTTTTTCATTATATTAAATAACTACTGGCAGAGCATGCTGATGCTTAGTGGATTGGTTTTAAAAGTATTAAGCGGGGGATTAAATTAGCTGTACTAAGGATATTCTAAACTACAAATAGTATACAAGCAAAAGTAATTTTGTCATTCTCAGTTCTTGTGATAATTTTAAGGACAAGAGTGAATTTTGCTCCCTTTCAGATAGGTGGTCGCAAATATAGCCTTGTAATGCGGCCTTATAAACAGATTACCTTTCATTTTTTTAAGGAAAAAAATTGGAAGATTCCCAGCAAAGTGTTTGTCCTTGCTCTTATTCTGCGCTTTGTGATACGTATTCAGTGCTAGTTCTTGATAATTTGTTAACAAGGCGTTTGTAACACTTTGGACAGATGCGCATACTGTTTTCAATCTTCACGGTTAATTATGCGATTTTGTATCTGATGCCAGAACACCCTGACTCCTAATCACTGCTCATTGTTGCAAGTCCATTATATTCTAACTGTTTGAGTGCTCCCATTGACCTTGAACTGACATTATAAGCTGTGTCTAATCTTTTCAGTCTATATTTCTAATGCTGCTTTTCTTTTTCCCCTTTTTTCTGATCCCTGTTTAGCATCACAATGGGGCTGCCTCTGAGCCCCGCAGCTGACTCCGCCCGCTCGGCCCGGCATGCCCTCTCTCTCATTGCCACGGCCAGACCACCCGCCTTCATCACCACCATAGCCAAAGAGGTGAGCGGAGCTTCAGAGCTCCATCCTCGCATTTAGAGGAATTACTGGAGATTGTGAGCTGTGCGCCCGTAACCACAAATAATCCTTCCAGTTTGTTCTAAAACAATGCGAGTTAATAATTTTGTCCCGCAGCGAATGCATCTGTAGCTGTGTGCAGGCACACTGAATTCCACGGCGGGGCATTCATTACCACGTGCTTTTCTATTCACCTCTCTTCTAGAAGTTAATTCACTTGTAAATATTTAACAATAACTTTTCAATCTGACCTAGAAGGCTTATTCTAAATATGAGGTGGGACAAAAGTAGGTTTACAGTTATGCATATGGAAAATAATACAATGATTAATAAATCATAATTCAGGAATAAACTGTATTCCATGTACCCACAACTGTAAACCTATTTTTGCCCTACCCTGTATGTTAAAGGTCTTTACATTTTACAAGTGTATCTACCTGTAATCAAAACCAGGCTTCTTATTTAACATTGGCTCTCCAACTGTAAACAAAAATGTAAGTCATAAACTTGCTAATTGTTTTTCCTATTCCATGTCACAAATAAAGACTTGAATGCCAATTGATTCCCACATTCTTAGTGTTCCAACTAATTGCCCACATCTAACCGAAACTAGTAAAGAACAATGAACCAATTACAGGATCCTTCCTGTAGGTCTTAGTAGTGGGAGGGACAGGAAAGGATGAAAGGGCCTGAATTTTTTTAAAGGTTTGTCCATTTCAGCGAGAGTAACGTGCTGACTCAGTGTCCGTGGGGTATGGGCTCTGTCTGAGTTGGTTTTCCTTTAGCTGTGATGAATATTTAAAATACTAAATAAATACTCCTGAGTCCGCTCTGATAACCTGAAACCTATGGGGCCTGGGTCTGCCCTGGAGGCATCCGTAATAGGCGTGCAGTAAATATTTGTGACGGGAAGGCAGCTAGAAGGGAGGAAGGAAGGTCCTAAAAGCAGATTGTGTAGGTTTCTATGAGGCACTGGGACTTTGAATTCATAGCTAAAATAAGTTTTTAGACTTAAAGGTGTGTGTTTTTCTAATAGTACACGGTGTTAAAGTGAGTTTCCACTGTATTTAAAATATACATATATGTATATATGTGTTTATACAGTTTATAGATGTATTTGTATAAAGTGAATGTATGTGTAAGTGAACAGACTTATTAGCCATGGAATTTTTTTACCGGTTTTTCCCATCAGTGTACAGATAGTAATATTAACTCTTCTGAATAAGCCTTGCATCAGTCTAACCACATACACAGATCCTATAAATGCTAGGCATTACACTGTCTCTTTAAAGAAAGTAAACAAATATTTATAGGAATTGTGCTTTTTTACTTAATTTGCACCATTTACATATATGGGTATTTTTAAATGAACTGTTAGAATAGCCATGCTTTGGATTTATTCTACTCCAGCATTTGGTTAGAAAGGTAATTTTTAAATATTTTAATGTAATAGTCCACATTTGTTACTTTTTAAAAACAAGTTTTCCACTTCACTTAGCATTTTTGAGTAAAACACTGAAGTATTTCTCACTGTTATTGACGTCCCCTACGCGATCCCCACGCCTGCTCCCCCCAGCCAGTCCAGGGCCAGACCCAGGCCCATTAATGCTCTTTCTCCTCCGAACCATCTAAGACATGATTTGTATGGGGGCGGAAAACACACTAAACTTACATTGTTTACAATGCTCATTGCTTTTGGAGGCATGTTTATTTGAATTTCCCAACTTTATTATAAAGCACCTAGCAGGGTGCCTGAGACACAGTTAAGTGCCATATAAACATCATTTACTATTATTACTTGAGAGCAAGGATCATGTCTTATACTTGCTGAAGCCCTTAACTGCTATCCACCTCTGTGCCAAACATACCAACCTCACAAACCTTCGGTCTGCCTTTTCTTAAGAAATGTCATGGTAATATTATACTAAAGTCTCATGTACACAGGAACATATAGAATTTAATTAGAGAAGACTCAACTGAGTTTTTATTGTAATAAATATCTTGTTTTGCAATCAAAAGTATTTCCTGACTCACCCCAGGAGGTTTGTTCTTGCTAATTCTTTTATTTTTTCTATTATAATAAGTGAAAAATTAACCAGTGGCTAGAATGTGAAACTCTATCAGGTGTCAGCCACATCTACAGCATGGTATGTTTTCATAGGTGCACAGACACACTGCTCTGGCAGCAAATACCCAGTCGCAGCAGAATATACACACGACAGCTCTTGCACGAGCGAAAGGGGAAATTCTGAGAGTCATTGAAATTCTCATTGAAAAGATGCCCACGGATGTTGTGGATCTTCTTGTGGAGGTAAGAATACCCTGTTTTAAATCACACATCAACAGCCTGAATGAAATACTCCAGTGTACTAAGATAAATTCCAGAAAGAAAGAGAGAGAGAGAGAGAGAGATAACTAAAATGAATTAACTTCTGACCCATTTCTGGATACCTATTTAAATTTCCTCAAAAATCAAAATGATTGCTATGTCCATGTATCATTCCCATAGAATTAATTGGTTTACATTAGAGTAATTTTTAAAGGTCATGGTCTTGACATCTTTCACTATAAATAAAACAAAACATAACAGGGTGCTTGAATAAAAGTTACTACACTGGACATAAATATGAATAGCTTCTAAAGGAAATAAGTTGTTTATTTTATTGCACTGTCTTATTTTATAAATGTTTTTCACAGATAAAAGAAAGGATATCCTGTAGTATAAAATAAATATACTGTAGTTTTAAAGTAAATATTAAAATTAAACTATCTAGAATTTCCATGGGCAAGTGAGGCCCAAGTTAATCATTTAAATTTGGGAAAATTAAGTCTTTGGAATTAATTTTAGATTTGTGTCTTTCCTACAAAGGTTATGGACATCATCATGTACTGCCTCGAAGGATCTCTGGTTAAAAAGAAAGGGCTTCAGGAATGTTTCCCCGCCATCTGCAGGTAAAGAAGCCTTCGATAGCATGCAAAATAATTCTCAGGAACAAATAATTGTAAAAAAAATTTTTTAAACGTGGTTAGTAGTCTTGCTCAGTTAGAAATTCAATCACTAATTAATATCTGCTTGCTTTCTAAAACAGTTTAGGCAGTCTGTAATCAACACAACGTGAAGAGGCTTTCTCAGACTAAACCCTGAGTGAGAGCGGACACCTGTTGAGTGTGTCTGTATCCATGTGTCCCTTACTCAGAGCATCGTTTACATGACGAAAGGAGAGAGGAGGCTTCTGACTCGAGAGAGAGATGTAGAAGCCTTTATGCCACATTTTTGTTGGCAAACTTTATTTTTAACATAAAGGCCAACATCTGCACATTGTAGGTGTTTTGCTTATGAGAAAGCAAGAAAGAAGCCACGAGCAGTTAGAACTTTTATAAACAATGTTGCATCTATTAACTATACCTATAAGAATTGTATATGTGTACAGCATATAATTATAATGAAATGAGGATTTTTTAAAATTTCAAAAGGTAGTAACATTATGTTTATTTTCCTTTTTAAAGTAGTTTTGTTTCTCAAAATGTTTATAGCTTCAGGTACATTTTGTTAAAAAAATTTTTATAATTTATAAGAGAGATTTATTTGAAGAAATATTTGCAGAAATATTACAACACATACAAACTACATAAAGTCTTAATTTCCACTCATACAGTGGTAGATTTAATATAATGCATAATAAAAACTTTTAAAATGAAGAATGCACAAAGTACTGCACAATTTGATCACTAAGTCATTAGTTGATAATTTTGTTAAAAAATTTTTAACCTCTATGTGATCAATAAAAATAGTGTTTAAATTTGAAGATAATTTGTTTTTGTATAAAGAACAACCAGTTGGTNGTGATCAGTAAAAATAGTGTTTAAATTTGAAGATAATTTGTTTTTGTATAAAGAACAACCAGTTGGTCATAGTTACATAACATTTTTCTTTCTAAGATAAGTTCGGTGATATCCTTCCTTATTTTTGCTCTGTTCTGTGAGTACTGTGTAGAGGAAAGCTTTATTTTAGATTAAGTTTCCTGAGGGCAGTGATGTTACGCTATGCATCTTCATGTCTTCTGCATTCCCAAGTATTTTGGCAAGCGTTTGCTGAATTAATCACACTCTTTAAGCAGTCCCATGTATTTTTCATATTTACAATAGATTTTATATTTTAGTCTCTTTCCGATTTACACCACCCAGAAGTTAAAACATGAAGACATGCAAGAAAAAGACTGTGTTGTATTATACATATGTACAGATGCATATTTTCTCGTGATGTAGGTTAGGCATATTAGAATACCGTAATTTTTTTTAGCATCATGCCACATTGTGTTCTTTTTGTTAAAAATTGTATATATCAGATTTTTCATGCAGATCATTGATGTTAAGAATTAATGTAGCAGTTATACTCCCAGTCGATTGTTCTCTAAGGAAATGTCTAAGTGAAAATGGACATTTGTCTGTCACTTAGTGGAGGCGAGGAAGCGTTTTTACTAGGACTTACCTTACTGAGTGTCAGGGACGCGTCCCTACCACACCGTCGCTGCTGTGTGCACAAGCCTCCTGGGGTTAAGCTGAGGAAGCTGCTCCCTTTAAAGGCCTGTCTTTTCCCTTTGCTGGAAGCCAGCCTCCTCCCAGGCAGCAGCCTCATTCCTTCAGCCACCTTCTTTCCTGAGTATCCACTTTTGATTCCTGTTGGTTAGTCGCTGGAAAGTAAGGATCCTGTTTCAGCGCTAAGAACGCAGATGTCTAAACCGAATGCTTAGTGCCCGTTTTTTTCTGACAGAAAGCAACTGTGTCTTTGTTCATTCATTTCATAACATTTATTGAACACCTACTGTGTAGCAAGCACTAGCTAGGCCCGGGGATGCGGTGTTGAATGAGACGGTGTCCTGAGAAGCGCAGGTCTCATAGGATGGGTAATTATGAAGATAGGTAATTCCAGGGCGCTGTGCTATGTGCTGGAGCAGAACTGCGCTCCAGGCCGGGGTTGGGCCATAGCTGGAGAAGGCAGACTAGTGGTAGCACCTGTGACAGTGCTGTAGTAAAAGAGGCTCCAATAAAATGGAGAGAAGGGTTTGTATCGCAGGAGGCCGGGTGCTGGTGAGTTTTGGGAATCCTTCACAGGAGAGCTGATGGGGTGGGCCTTGCGGAATAAATAGGCATGTGCATCTTGAACCGCACGGACAGCCAGACTGGCAGATGTTTAGAGGCACAAAAACATACACTGAGCTTGGTAAGTGCTGTGTCGTCATGGCTAGGATGGAGGTTGGATGGAAGTCCAGTGCAGTGCTTTGAGTTCCAAAGGAAGGAATTAGGCCATTATTCTGTAAGCAATGGGAAGTCAGCAAAGTTTAAGCAAAAATGTGTAATTCTTTTCCCAGAACAGTTTATAAGAAATAACTTTATGAAACACCGAATGTATAAAAAACAGTTGTTGACTACCTCTTATTGAATTATGTCAGATATTATTTGAGCTGTGAATGTATAAGCCACATAGACCCACTTAAGAGTCAGCCCATGAACACAGAAAGATTATTAACCATGTAAGGTTGTAGCTTATGCCACATGTGAGTTGGAGCAGACAATAAATTATGAATTGACATCTGTCAGTTTTTAGGTGGGACCTCAAAAATTTTACAGGTCAGTGCCACCCTACCTATTGGCTGATTTGTACTAGGCTGATAAATGAACAACAACAAAATATCAGCAGAGGTTAAAGTTATTTTATTGAAAATCTGCCATGTCCCTTCCATTGTACTAGGTTCCTCACAGCACTTATGAGCCCTCCACTTATAGGTAAATGCTTTTCTCAAAATAGGAAACTCAGAAATTGATGACATGAATATCTATGGTCCGGTCATGTGACATTCGTGTTTAAAATTTTTGAGTAACTTAGTATTCTTTTTTGTTTTTTCCTTTTACCCCTTTTTAAAAGACGCCGCGGGTTTAGCTTAGGGAGTTTCTCTAGCGTTGCTCGGTACCCGTGTTCAGTTGCTGTGGTTGATGGGCTCATTTAGTATTCTTTCCAAATGAGGTGATTCTGCTCAAAGCACGCAGCAGAATGCTTATGATTCAGGCATTCGGAGAATGTTAGTTTCCTGTGGGTCTCTTCATCTTTGTAATAATGTGAAAACCCAAAATATATATGTAAGAAATTAGTTAATATAAATTTGAATATATTTTATATGTAGAAAAAGTGCAGGATGACATCATTTTCATATATTTAAAAATTTTTGGTTTACTTTTCAAAATATTAAATAACTTCTAGTCAGTGTTATAAAGGAAATCTTCACACCTAAAGTCATATTCACTTAAGAGCTAATATAGTATACTGAAGTCATTGAATATTTAAAAATTGAAAGTATTCTGCCTTGCTGGGGTTATACATCAAACTTACGATTTTCTGTGAGTACCAAGATGAAGTAGCCTCTTGGAATGCTGATTGAGTTTGGTTTTCTTGGGTTTTATTTTATTTTGTTTGTTTTTACCTTGACCAGTGGGCTTGTGATTCTCATATGCTTCTGGGTTTTGAGCTTTCAGTTTAGAATTTTTAAACTTTTAAGGTGGTAATTTCTCTAAGATTTTTTTTTATTGTTGGTGTTTTATCACTTGTTTCACAGGTTGCATATTAAATTTGCCATTTTACTGTTATTGTGGAAGTCTTTAGTCTTAGCTTAGGCTTACCCTCTGTATGTTGCTATAGACCGATTGTCATTTTTATTAATTGAGGTGTGTTTGTTTATTTATCCATTTACTTATTCAGGTTTATTAATTATAGAATGGCTTAATATATAATTAAATGAGTGATGCATATATCCACTCAATTATATTGTTAACTGAATTTCTTTGTTTTCTGGCATCTTTGTTCAAATCACATTTAAAATTTAAGCTACAAATTGTAAATTCATTGACAGAAGATTGATCCAAAAGTTTGACTTTTCTAATTTTGCTCAGATAATAGCTTTTGTCAATTGTTAAAACTTTTTGTAATATCTTCTACATAAAAATAGAAATGGGTTAGAACACATGCCAGTAAAATTTGATAGACATACTTTCTCATCGCTGACCAAACTCTCTTGCTAATACATATTAAAACAGGTGATAGCAGTGCACAATCAATAAAATAATGGAATCATCTCTTTAAAATTTATATAACACCTTACAAACTACCAAGTGCTTTCCAACCCATTAATTCTCAAAAACATCTTTAAGAAAGGCATTATATAAATTAAAGTTTTGGGAGAATTAGATTGTGAAATGAATTAGTCAGTGGTAATAAGATTGTAGTTTCGAGATAAAAGCTAAAGCTTCTTATTCATAGTTCATTGCTTTTGCCAGTTTTACCTATTTATACATACAGGGTGGGGCCAAAGTACGTTTACAGTTGTGAGTATGCAAAACGTAGTTTATTCTTGTATTATTTATTAATACGAACAGCTGTAACCTGCTTTTTCTCTCTCACACACACACACCCCACCCATGACTTGTTGAATAAATATCTTAAGCAGCTTTGAAAGTTAATGTAAAATGTAAAAACTGTGAGAGAGCAGAAGCCAAGGGAAAATAAGAGCAGGAAAGAAAGACCAGCCACAGTGACTGTTGAAGTTCTGTGTATTTGCTAGAGGTGAGCCATAAATGTCTCTCGACGTCGCAGCCAGTATGCAGAGAGGGGCAGACATTGTTCACATGGTAGAAATAGAAGAGCTGTTCAAGAGACACATAGCTGGAAAACTGAGCTCAACAGAGAGCCTGTCATTTATCAACCACGCAGCTTTAGAGATTTTGCAACTCTCAGTGTGCTGGGAAGGAGATCACATAACGAAATGTTAAACAGAGCACACTCAGTGCTTATTAGTTGAGAGAACTGAGGACACAGGTGAGAAGGTGAAATTTGAAATCAGTACTGAGAGCTCACCCCTTCTAGGCCCTGTGCAGAATACTGGTCTCTCAGTATAGTTCCTGGG